GAATAGCAAGAAAGTAACATCATTACAACAAGAATTTGAAGGTAAATTTAAGGAATTTAATAATTGCTATGTTAAGCTGAAGTGAAAAATAGAGAACTGTTTAATTATTTACATACAAACACATGTACTTTTTCTGCATGTGTTGATAAAAAAAAAGTAATACATTAAAAAAAAAAAAAAAAAGGAGAATAGGCTGTCGTTATTTATTGTCAAGTTTTGTTTCATTGGAAAAGTTTTTTATGAAAATAATGCAATTTTCATATTTTTTTTAAGTTGATGCTAAATGTATGTTCTTTAGTGGTTTATTCAACATATTATAAATATTTGAAATAAATGTCAGTCCAAAAATTAAATATTTAGCTGCAAATACATTTGAATTATGAAATTTAATCAACACAAATATGTTACAGATAGAAAATAAGCATAATAAATTATTTTTTTTTCTTTTGATCTATTATTTTTATTGCTTATGTATGTTTTGATAAATATATTAAGTAAAATTTGAAATTATTTTAAAATTTAGTTTATTTGAAGTTTTGTTAAAAATATCTGGCCCGCCAATTGCTTTCAGGTCTTGCATGCGGCTCGCATGCAATTTCAGTTTTTCATGTATTTTAAATTATTATTAAAAATCAATTTGTAAAGATTGAATTCTTTTAATAATTCAGATACATACATACCAGTAGAATAACAGCACCAATTTCAGCGGAGTCGAGATTCTTAACGCGCATCCGCTAGGAGAATTCAGGACGTGACCTCATCGTCTATGTTGGAAAAATGTGGGGGGGGGCGAAAGGTAAAAACCCTTACTATAGCCCTTCTGGAAAAAAAAATTGCGTTAAAAATCTGTAGGAAAAAAAAAAAAATTAGTATCGTCTAAATCATTTTGGATAGTGAACAGGACTTCCAGAAAGAGTTTGGTTATTTGCTTTCGTAGGAGACTGTTCATTAACTGAACAAGCTGGTTGTTGTGATGAGGTAAAGTATGAGGTGCAGATATATCGTCCGCGACCGAGTAAGCAGGTTTTGCCCTGTTGATAGACAATGATATTGTGTCCTTTTTCCGAAATGGTAAAAGTTTTGTCACTATGTTGAAGCACTTTATAAGAACCAGTGTAGGGTGAGTGCAAGGATGGTTTTACTGCGTCTACACGGAAGAAAAATACGAGAACATTTGTCTAAATCTTTGCAGACCAACATCTGCGTCTTTTTGAGTGATTTTTTGTTGCTGTTGGGCCAAGGTGATTTTTGTAGCAGTTGGGCTCTGTATTGTCAATAAATTTTTGTAGGAAGTCATTCTTCTGATTTTTGCTTTCGGGAGGTATAAAGAATTGTTCTGGAAGATATAAAGTTTGACCATACCCACTTTCAGCTGGAAAGCATTTAAGTTCCTTTTTAAAAACGATTAAGCCTTAAAAGAACTAAGGGTAATGCTATAGTCCAGTCTATAGATGTATGACACATTATGGACATTAAGAGACCAGTGCCACCTTTCAGTGATCCCATTGACTTGTGGGTGGTACGAGGTGGCATCATAAAAGCGAATACCAAAGTTTTACCTAGCTTTCAAAAGAACTCCCTTCGAAATTGACTGCTACAATCAGTGGTGAAGTACTACAATCAGGTATACCGAATCTAGAGATCTAGCCTGCGCAAAGAGCAATCGTGACGCTCTCTGCCGGCGTATCTTTCAATGGATAAGCTTCAGGCCAACATACTTACCTGTCAATGCATGTCAGAGAGTAAAACATTCCTTGAGATGAAAGAAGAGGTCCAATCTACATTAACATGCGAAAAGCGTTCATCTGAAATCAGTGCCGGCGCTAGGTTTTTCGCTGCCCGGTGTAATCACTTCGATTCGTAGAACCTACCGCCTAGTGACTCCCTAAATTTTACAAATTTTGTCACCCCTAGATCTTGCCACTCGGCGCGACTGCTTATGTTGCACAGGCTTTGGCGCTGTCCCTGTCTGGGACGATAAAATTAGCTAAAGGGGAGTGTACAAGGCGAGACATTAGGTTAATTTTTGGAAACAGGATGAAAAATTAGTAAACGCCTTCGCCGGGAATTGAACCACGGACCTCTAGAATACCGGCCAAGCTTGCAGAACCACTACACCACGAAGGCCCGCTAGGAAAGCGGGAGAAATACCTCATATACTCCCCCTTTTAAAGGGCGACTGGGGTTTTCAGGGGACTCAATCGCTAAATCCTGCGTATGGAGAATCCTCATCCAACAGCCGTTTAGTTCGGGCGCCACTTGTAGAGTCATTAGGTTAATTGGAAGCAGAAAAGATGAAAAATTAGCAAAAGCCTTCGCTGGGAATTGAACCGCGGACCTCTGGAATACCGGCCCAGCATGCAGAACCACTACACCACGAAGGCATGCTAGGAAAGTGGGAGAAATACTTTATAACTGTATGCAAGTTTTAATAAAGTTCATAACATCCTTTTTCATTCCGGGCTAGACAAATCGGTCATTGGTCAGCTTCAGCGTTGCTTTTGGTCCAGGGTGATAAAGGTTACGCACAGCTGAAAAGACAATTTTGTATGACTGTCTGGAACAAAAGAACGGATTTTACCATTTGAAATGTCGCAATAGAGTTTTACTAAACTTTAAACCAGGCATTTTCAACTTCTTTAATTACAGAACTGAATATTCTTTATCGGAAAAGGATTGGAGTACGGTGTCACTCTATTGCGCTTGAAACATAGAGTCGTAATCAGTAGGAATTACATTAGTAACCATTTCGATGTGAAAAAGAGCATCGGCTGGTCCGTTTTCTGCACCACTCACATGCTGAATATCAGTAGTGAACTGAATTATGAAAGTAAGTTGATTAATTTGTCGAGGTGAGAGTTTGCCATCTTTTAGAAAAATGCTTGTATGAGTGTCTTATGTTCTGTAAACACTGTAACGTTCATAACTTTAAACAGATATCTGAAGCATTTAATAGCGGAAAATATCGCCCAAAGCTGTTTCACCCTATATTAATAATTTTTTACACAAACAAAACAATAACGATTAATAAACTTTCGTTTTCTGTAAGCGAATCACTTATATAACCTCAAGTTCATAAGAATCAATTAGCTATTTCCTCTCTCTGAATGCCAAAAATTTTTAATTTTCAATCTAAGTCACCTGGTAGTTCAATAAAACAACTTTAGAATCAATAAAAGAATAAAAGAATTTGAATTAAAATTCTTTGGCCCAATTGATCAGTAGTTTCTTGACTCAGTGCTTGACATAATAGGATCTCTTAAGGTATGTGTACTGTGTTTCCTGGTTTTCCAAGAACTATAGCTGCTTCGTATAGCCTTTTTTAAGAACACTAACATAAAGGTGTTTTCGTTTTATAAGTAGCCTAAACATGATTATGAATTCAAGTAATAATTTTTCATTTGAAAATTGCTGAAATTCTGAATAAATGTGTGTAAAATGAAAAAATAAATCATTCGAAAGTTTCCTTAAGTTCGTTATATCCGCTTTTTATACATTTGGAGGTTCGCTATACCCTTAAAAAATAACATTAAGTATATAGGAAACTGAATGGAACCAAAAATGATTTCGTTATATTCGGTGGTTTGTTACAAACCGGATTCGCTAGAAAGGGGTTTGACTGCACTACAACATCATTTGCTATTATTGCTGTTATCTCAGACATTTCCTTTACCTTTTTGCATTTCCCGCTGAAAGTTTGCATTATTCTGATGAGTTTGTATTTGTAATTTTTCCATCGTTCGGCAATAAAAAAATTCAATATTTCTTTTAGACACGGCTCAGTTAATTCCCAACCTGGTGTAAGTGCTTGTAGGTATGACTAAATGATACGGTACATCTTTTCGAATTTCAGAATTCTAGAAAGGAAGTTTGAGATATGGGTTCCACGACTGGGAATAATATTTGACTTTCAGCGGGAAATGCAAAAAGTTCCTTCATTTCTTGTTCCTTCATTCCTTGTTTTATCTACTCGCTCAAATACTATTGATAAATATCAAGCTAGTTTTATATCCCAAAATACAATTATGTATTGTATTTGAAGAAGGCTTTCTAAATCACTTTCTATTTTCAGTATATTATTGTAACAAGAGTTTAAAATATTCTACATTGCTGAATTAAAAATAATTCTCTAACCTTATTAAAGGGATAGTTATTGTTCGATGTTAATTAAGAAAAAAGCATAAAGAAAATTATTTCAGGATCATTCTATAATTTACAATTTACTGAATGTTTCGAGTTAAAGAAATACATCTTAGAAAGAAAAGTGAACATTAAAATTTAAAAATTTTGTCGGTAGGAAACACTTTATTTGATTTATCAGAATTTTCAAATTATCGAAGTTCCACTAATTAGTATGTGTATTGGGGAACAAAAAGAAAATTTATGAGCATTTTCTAATACGATATCTTAATATTTAGTTGAAAAATGCAAACTATAATTTGCTACTTTAATATTCAACATAAATAAAATATTATTTAACACTCTAATTTGATGTAAAATAAAAATAATAATATTTTTTTAATTTGATGTAATTATCAGTCAAAATATGCCGAATATTAAGAAGTTTTGCACTTGATTACTGTTTAAATAATGTTTTTCTTTCGATGTAGTTGACTGAGTGATTAACACATATTAAAAGATTTTTTTCTCATTGTTAATGTGATAAAGTTTATTCTGCCTTATACTTGCCGATTGCTTGTAATCTATTATTGGTATTAAAGTTAATGGTCGAATTTCTGATATTTAGCAATGGTTTTGGTTTTTACTTCCTTTGGTATTATTTCCTTTTATTCAGAAAATAATTCAAGTAACGACAGAGAGCCTTCGGTAAATTTCGTTGAGCAGCAACTATGATTACTTAAAATCATGATTTTCTTTCGTTTAGGGGCATTACCGTGTTCCTACCAGTTAATTTTCTTCTGGCACAGGTGTTTTCTTTCGTGTGTGATTGGCAGCTTCCCCGCCTCACTGTAAAAGAATCTCGAGGTTTAATTTCCATACACCAGCGCTTTCTGTTACAATGCAACATTTTAAGACCACCAAAAAAGGAAGAAAAGTTGATTTCTGAACCATTTTTAACGCAGAAAAGTGTCGAAACGAAAAGAAAATGCATATAGGTGTCCCATACTTAAAAAAATGTTTGAAATTCTTGATTGGAGGTATACTTATAGTAATATTATTCTTCCTTTTTTTACAAGTGCAACCTTCAGAAGGACAGCAAGGTAAGTTTCCTTCATTTTTATGATTTTAAAATGATTATAAAATTTTGTATTTTATTTGATAAGTCTTGTTTTATCTACTCGCTCAAATACTATTGATAAATATCAAGCTAGTTTTATATTCCAAAATACAATTATGTATATAGCTTGAAGAAGGCTTTCTAAATCACTTTCTATTTTCAGTATATTATTGTAACAAGAGTCTAAAATATTCTACATTGCTGAATTAAAAATAATTCTCTAACCTTATTAAAGGGATAGTTATTGTTCGATGTTAATTAGTATTATGTTATTTGTGTTAAAATAATTATACCTATTAACTTTTACATCAAATTCTGCCAAATAAATAGTTTTTCTTGATTAGGATTGAGCCTAGGTGTTCAGAAGAGGTTATGAATAAATGAACTGTTCAGATGTTTTATAATCTTTAAAAATCCAATTTCCACAAAGAATATTGGTTTTGCACTATTATTAAAAGTTCTTAAAACACGAACACCTTTTTAAAATGCAAATCTTAAGTCATTCTTTGATAACATTCGGTATTTATTCTTAGTTTTCATTACAGAAATTTTCAAAAATTCAGTTTCACATAGGTAGGTGGGTACAGGGGAAAAGAAAGCAACGATTGTATAACTTCAGAAACTAGAAAGTGATTATTTTTCAAACTTATCTAAAATGATCATAGTTCCTGTTTTTGAAAATTATGACGTGAAGCTCATTTAAAATTTTAAAAAACTCTGATTCTCTTCAAACACTGCATACTCAACTACATTTGATCCTATCTTCTGGAATGGAGCAACGGAGCTCAAGGTTTAATTTTTGTAGGCGCTGAATGACATTTTTGTCCTCAGCTAACTTAACATTTTTATCTTCTAAACACAAATTTAAACTTAGGAACCAAGTTATTTAAGCCTTTTTATTTTATTTTATTTCATTTTTGAGAACATTTCCTCGAAACAATCATCTGACCTGAGACTGATAAAAGAAATAGATGCATTCAGAACTCACTTCTAAACAAGTTCGGCTAAATATATTAAGAGATCTTTTTGCTTTCATATAATTGACGTTTTGAACAATAGCATTAAAATTCTTTGAAATCTTTAAGTAAAAGTAAGTACGTCCAAACTAGCTTCTTTTACTCTTGCCTTAGATATTGAGAGCTAAACGTCAGTACAAATGCTACGATACTAATCCCAAGGCAGACATTTAAAGGATGAGTCTGTTAAATTAAATTTTTTTTTCTGTAGCACTGATGATGAGTAGATGACAAAACAAAAAGTCTTCTTCCATTTTGATGAACTAGCACAGCATGTGTTGGCTATTAGTCGTCATTTAACGTCAGTGGTTTCATGAAGTTGTAAACCAAACCATACACTGGTTTTTAAAAGATGAATTCACCTTGTAGAGTTGCTAGGGTTTCTAAAGCAGGAGACATGAAAAATGAGCAATACCCTCGTCGGGACTCAAACTTTGACCTCTCGAATACGCGCCGATTGTGCTACCGTTACACCCCGAAGGCATGCGGAAAGGATGGAGAAACCTGTTTCCTATTTCGTAAACCTGATAACCTATTTCGTATCATCTTTCGACATATCAGAGATATATGTGCGAATTGTATCATTTGACAGCGGTATTTGTTCAGCTTTTTTTGCATATATGTAATGTCGATCATCTTTATCATTGCTTTGTCAAAACCTCTCCAATGACGTGGGGGCAACTTCTGCTTTGCAATACGCCTACCTAGAAGAAGCTGCTTCATTTGCATTGCAAAATGTTGTCGCTTTGGATTCCCCCCCTTTCTTTCATAAAAGGTCCTTCTTTATTAATTAAAACTCAGTGTTTATTCGCTAGGTAACGTGTTCTGTGTGTGCTGCTCATTGCTCAGAGACGGATGATACATTGGGGTTTTACTCTTCCTCGATCTTTTAGAAATGCGAAACTAAAATTCAAAAAAATCATCATTTCATTGATCATTCACGGATTCTGCAAATCACAAAATTAATACAATAAATGTTTGTTTGATATGATAATAAACAAATAAAACTGACGAAATGTCATATATCCAAACCCCAACGCAATGGTAAGAAACAAAACGACAGATTCTACACATTGGTATAGCATAGGAAAACAATTGAAAAAGAGCACTGCTATGTAGTGACTTTATGAAAACGGCTGAAAAAGAGCAGTGCTATGTAGTGACTTTATGAAAACGACTGAAAAGGAGCAGTGCTATGTAGTGACTTTATGAAAACGCCTGCTATCTTGGAGGCCAGAAGAAGCAAAACTGTGGGTTCCTGCATTTTCATCGTGAAGAATCCCTCAGTTTTGTATATAAGCCTGAGACATTTACCGTCGAAAGGAGAGGTTAATGAGGTTCAGACAGCGGAAAGAGCTAATAGCAAAATATGCTTTTTTTTTTTTTTTTTTGTTCACTTCAGACGATTGTTCCCTATTCATACACTTCAGCATGCACACATTTTCATATTTTATCGTGCATTAAATATGAAAAATACTTAAAGTTTAAAATAAAAAAGTTTAAAGCTTTTAGTTTCCCAAGAAGTTCCGGAGACCAAGTCGGAAACTCCAGCGATCAGGAACGTCGTCTTAGTACATGCAATATAGGCGACTCATGTCTATCAGTTTAAAAGTGTGAAAACAGAATATTATTTTTTAACTCACTCGTATACAATTGATTAATACTTATTGCTTTAGATATACAGCTTTGCATTGAATCTCGATTTTATTTATAATTAGAAATTTAAAACAAACCGAGTTGCTTCCTGTTGTGTCTTCTCTGATTCTACTCCTGCATACTATCCAGATACAGCAAGCATCATTAACAATATACTGTAATTAAAGAAGCCAAATGGAGCTTCTCTCTTCCCTCAACGTGTTAGAGCGCGACAATTTTTTCTCATCAGAAGGCGATCAACTTGTCAAACATTTTTCGTTAATGTCAGCACTTTAAATAAATAATTGTTGCTGGCAACGTTTTTGTTTCAGATTACGATAAACACGGTATGTTATTGCCACGCTAATTCTTTTATTAATATTGATAAAATGTTGTTAAATTAGATTAAATTTAAATCATGACGTCATACTTAGACGTATTAACCTGAAGTGTCTCAAAGTTTGTTCTTGGTTTGGCAAGAAAAAAATTATTGACGAATTGGTTGTTGCCTGAAAAGAATGAGCTCACTCATATTGAAATGTTTTTAATGCCTTTTCTCTTCAGGAGTAGAACTCATAAATTTTGCTTTGGTCTCAGCTAGCAACTTTGTATACAGTATATTAAATTAACAGTTCATTTTATTTTAACTTTTACAGTACATAGAACTTATAAATATTGCTTTGGCCGTAGCCCGCTAATAATGCTTTAAATTTTGATAAAAAACTGTGCTTGCTCGCCAGAAGCTTTCAGATCATGCATTCGGCCCGCAAACGATTTGAGTTTGAAGCCACTCCCTTAACCTAATCATATTGATTTTTCGTCGGTTAGAAAATGAAAATCGAATTTTTCATATACCTACTTTGTTTGCGAAATTAAAATATCACTTTACTTCTACAGTGAAAAGGTATTTTCTGAAAATTAATTCTTTTATTAACTGATTCTCGACTATCTGATTTATTAACTTTTTTTTTTTCGAAGTTTTGCTTTATATTTATCTTTCAAGCTAAATTTCCAGATTCTTCAAGATTATCTTCTCTCATCTACTGTAAAATAAAATTCTTATTCCTCAATTTTAATTGATACTTTATTTAATTCAATACGGCAAAACCTGCGAAGGCTATTTGGTAAGGAAGAGTATGCCATTACACAAAACTTTCTAGGGGTAAAGTCGGTCTGCATTCACTCTGCATTCAAGAAAAAATTTAAAAAATCCATTCAATGATATTCGAGCCCAGGATTGAAACTGAAGCTTTATGTGTAAAACAGTTACAACTTTTGACTGCAAAACTTTAAGTAGCTTTTCACCTTTTTGCAATATTAAATTTGGTGTAGAAAATATACATAATTTTTTTTAATTAATTTGCATCAATATGCTATTATTTTCAACTCATTGATATGATCTCGGCATGCATATAAATGTTAAGCAATAATAGCTAAGGAAAATTGCGTAAAATACGAGATACTGATTTTCTGTCTCACTTTGAATGTAAAATAATTTTAAATCTTGATTGAATATCGAAAACTAAATAAATTTTCAATTTGGTTGGGTTAACTAAGGCAGAGAAGGAAAGGCATATCTGCCTAAGGGGAAAGAATGGCTTTGCAGAGGACTTTCGAAGAGAAATGGTTGGTGCTTATATCGCACTAAGGGGGGGGGCACTAAAACACTAATGTAGTTGCCGTTCGCCAGAGTTTGAACCTGGGTCGAACTACTAGGGTTAATATCCATTCAGCCGTTGTTGGACAAAAAAGTCTTTGAAGACAATACTTTCCTAAGAACTTTACACTTTTGTCCTAAGTGACAAAAGTCATGGGATACCTCCTAATATTTTGTCGGTCCTCCTTTTGCCGGGCGAAGTGCAGCAACTCGACGTGGCATGGACTCAGCAAGTCGTTGGATGTCCCCTGCAAAGAATATTGAACTATGCTACCTCTATAGACGTCCATAATTGTGAAAGTGTTGACGGTGCAGGGTTTTGGGCACGAACTGACCTCTCGATGATGTCCCATAAATGTTCGATGGGATTCATGTCGGGCGATTTAGATGGCCAGATCATTCGCTGGAATTGTCCAGAATGTTCTTCTAACCAATCGCGAATAATTGTGGCCCGGTGACATGGCGCATTGTCATCCATAAAAATCCCATCGTTGTTTGAGTACGTGAAGTCCATGAATGGCTGTAAGTGATCTACATTGACAAGTAGCTGAAGGTATCCATTTCCAGTCAATGATCGGTTCAGTTGCACCAGAGGACCGAGTCCATGCCATGTAAAAACAGCCCAGACCATTATGGAACCACCACCAGCTTGAACAGTGCCTTATTGACAACTTG